GTCTTCTGTGTATCATTCCCGTCATGTTTCCTCTATTAAATTTAGCCAGGTCTTAGGTTTCTGTCTATATGCAGAGATTCTTTCGCATGGATTATTTTGCAGGGATTACTCCCCATTACAGAAGCACATATGATATTAATGACTGCATATGAATACTATTTTAGCTATGTATTTATGTAATTATTTATACATGCATTGCATTTTATCTATATTTTTAATTTTCTGACTGCCGGAGGTCTTTCACGGAAGCTATTCTCAACCTGGCGTTGGGGGCAGCCTACTACCCTACCTCCCCCTTACCCCATATATATGGGAATTGGGTTTTGTTGTTGTTGTTGTTGTTGTTGTTGTTAAACTAGTCTCCTAATGCAACTCTGCTCGTCAATATTCCAGAAGGCGTGCAGAGGAAGTCTTCTAGAAACCGTCGCTGACTGGACCTTCTAGAAACTGCCACATCAGACCGCGTCGTGCCCATGTCTCCAGCCGTGACCAAATAATAAAAAAATGCAGAATGCGCCCGTTTTTTCATTAATTCTGGAAAGTAAGGACCTGCTCGAAAATAAGCATAACACGACCAATTTAGCAGCAATAATTCCATAAAATTGAAGAAATAACGAGCAAAGATTAACGATTCTGAACACTCATCAGAGATCAACATAACATGGTCAAAGTAGTAGTCACAAACATGGTTAATCAAAGTCGAGAAGCAAAAATAATTTAAAGTTCTACAACTGTGGAAAGAAGGGTCACTTGAAGAAGGATTGTTGGAGTCCAGGTAAAAACTCCGATCCACAAGGCAATACCACAAACACTTCAGATGATGGAGATGCTCTATGTTGTGAAGCGTCAACCATCGTGGAAGGTAGAAAGAGATTTGCAGATATATGGCTCATTAATTCGGGAGCAACATATCACATGACCTCAAGAAGAGAATGGTTCCATCATTATGAACCTGTCTCAGGAGGATCTGTGTATAGTTACAATGATCATACCTTAGAGATCGTTGGCATGAGAACCATCAAATTGAAGATGTATGATGGAACAATTAAATTTGTTCGAGATGTACGACACGTGAAAGGCCTGAAGAAAAATTTATTATCCTACGAATTGTTGGATAATAATGCAAGCAAGATTGAAACACGGAAAGGAATCATGAAGGTGTTCTGTGGAACGCTTGTGGTGATGAAAGGAGAAAAGATAGCAACAAACTTGTACATGCTGAAGGGAGAGACTTTGCTAAAAGCAGAAGCCTCTGTTGCCTTATGTAGTTCAGATTCTGCAATGCTATGCATCAGAAACTTGGACACATGTTAGAACAAGGAATGAAAATCCTTGTGGATCAAAAGCTACTTCCAGGCTTAACAAAGGTATCACTTACTTTGTATGATCATTGTATAACAAGTAAGCAACACCGGTTGAAATTTAACACGTCAAATTCTAGAGGCAAAAGTGTTCTAGTATTAGTTCATTATGATGTATGGCAAGCACCAGTTACATTTCTAGGCGGAGCAAAATACTTTGTCTCATTTATTGATGACTACTCCAGGAGATGTTGGGTGTACCCTATTAAGAAGAAGTTAAATGTGTTTTCAACTTTCAAAAACTTCAAAACACGGGTGGAACTTGATTCTGGAAATAAGATCAAGTGTTTCAGAACAGATAATGGAGGAGAATACACAAGTGAAGAATTTGATGACTTTTGCAGGAAATAAGGCATCAAAAGACAGTTCACAGTGGCGAACACTCCTCAACAAAATGGAGTGGTAGAATGGATGAACAAAACCTTGTTAGAAAGAGCAAGAGCAATGTTGAGGGCTACAGACCTAGAAAAATCATTTTGGGTAGAAGCAGTTAATACCGCTTGTTATTTGGTGAATCGAGCTGTTATTTGGTGAATCGAGCTCCATCAACTGCAATAGAGCTGAAGACATTAATAGAGATGTGGACTGGTAAACCAGCTGATTATTCAAACCTCTATGTATTTGGAAGTTTTGAGTACGTGATGTACAACTCCCAAGAAATTTCAAAAGCTGGATCCAAAATCCAAGAAATGTAAATTCTTGGGGTATGCTGATGGTGTAAAGGGGTATCGCTTGTGGGATCCAACTGCCCGAAAAGTGATCATCAGCAAAGATGTTATCTTTATAGAAGATAAACTACAAAGAAAAGAAGATGATGATAGCATTGAAAAGTCAGAGACTACATAGATACATGTAGAAAAGGAGTTTGAACAAGGAGATTCTTCTGAAGCAGAACCAACACATGACGAATAAGAAATAGAGAGTTATGAAGCTCCAACAACTCGTCAATCAGATCATGTGAGAAGACGTCCTAATTAGCAATCAGATTATGTTATAGAAGGAAATATTGCATATTGCTTTTAACATAGGACAGTGAGCCATCAACATATCAGGAGGCAATAAACAGCTCAGATGCTTCACTATGGATGATGGCGATGCAAGAAGAAATTAAAGCCCTTCATAAAAATAATACATGGGACCTTGTGCCAGTACCACAAGGAAGGAAGCCAATTGGTAACAAATGGGTCTTCAAAATAAAGCGAAATGGTGATGATCAAGTTGAGAGGTATCGTGCAAGACCGGTGGTCAAAGGATATGCTCAAAAAGAATGTATTGATTTCAATGAAATCTTTTCTCCTGTAGTTAAACTAATAACAGTTCAAATAGTCTTGGAAATGTATGCTACATTGAACTTACATCTAGAGCAGCTAGATTTTAAAACAACTTTTCTTCATGGAAATCTTGAAAAAGAGATTTATATGCTCCAACCTGAAGGTTTTGAAGAAAAAAAAAATAATAACTTGGTTTGTAGTTTGAACAAATCTCTGTATGGTCTAAAGCAGATGCCGAGGTGTTGGTATAAGAGATTTGATTCATTCATTATGTGCCTTAGATACAACAGACTTAATGTAGACTATTGTGCTTATTTCAAGAGGTTTGGTGATAACGATTTTGTTATATTGTTGTTGTATGTGTATGACATATTGGTTGCAGGACCCAACAAAGGTCATATTGAAGAATTAAAGGTACAACTGGCTAGGGAATTTGAAATGAAGGACTTGGGATCAGTAAACAAGATTATAGGGATGTAAATCCACCGAGACAGAAGTAATAGGAAGATTTGGCTTTCACAAAAGAATTACTTGAAGAAGATCTTGTCACGATTCAACATACAAGATTATAAGCCAATTTCTACCCCTCTTCCTATTAACTTCAAATTAACCTCCAGTATGAGTCCTAGCAGTGAAAAAGAGAGGATGGAGATGTCTCGAGTACCGTATGCATTGGCAGTGGGAAGTTTAATGTTCGCTATGATATGCACAAGACCAGACATTGCACAAGCAGTGAGAGTGGTTAGTCGGTACATGGAGAATCCAGGCGAGCATTGGAATACAATAAAGAGGGTTTTGAGATACATCAAAGGGACCTCAAATGTTGCATTATGTTACGGATGATCAAATTTACTTATCAATAGGTATATTGATTCTGACTATGCAGGGGATTTGGATAAAAGCAAATATACTACATGATATATGTTGAAAATTGTTGGTGGAGCTGTAAGCTTGGTTTCAAAATTATAGTCAGTTGTGGCTACGTCAACAACAGAAGTAGAATATGTAGTAGCTACACAAACCAGTAAAGAAGCAATTTGGTTAAAGATGCTATTGGAGGAGCTTGGGCACAATCAAGAGTATGTCTCTATGTTTTGTGACAGTCAAAGTGCCTTACATCTAACAAGGAATCCAACATTTCATTCAAGGACAAAGCACATACGAGTTCAATACCATTTCATTCGTGAAAAGGTGGAAGAAGGGACGGTAGATATGTAGAAGATCCATACCAAAGACAACATAGCAGATTTCATGATGAAGACGATCAATGTTGATAAATTTACTTGGTGTCGATCCTCTTGTGGCCTGTCAGAAATGTAAGCAACATGATGGTACAAGGTAGAAAGAATGATGTGAAGATATGATTGTTCCAATCAAATCTTCAAGTGGGAGATTGTTGAAATTTTTTTAAATGAATCGAAAGTTGGCATTAAAAAAATTCCACCGAAAAGTTGCACAATAGTGAAGTCAAAAGTGGCAACAATTTTTGTTGAAATTTGGAAATGGGAAAATTGAAAATTTAGTTCATACACTTTAGGATATTTACAAGATTAGTCCTTAAGCTTCAACTATAAATATCCTAACCCATTTAGCTTCAAAAACATCCCAAATCATTCTACTTTCTCCCAATACTAGAGAATTTAGAGAGTTTCTTGAGAGTTGTTTTCTCATTTTTATCAAGAGAAAATTGTAATTGTTTTCTCCTTGTTAGATTGAGAGAAGTTTTAATTCCTATTTTCTCATACTGAAATTCTTCTATCTTTGCTCGTGGTTTTTACCCTATATTATTTAGGGGTTTTCCACGTAAAATTTTTGTCTTCTTTATCTTCATTTTTATTTTCTCAAATTATCAGTTGCGATTTTGCTTTATCTGATATTCGTATTCCGCAACAGCTTGCAGCTGCAGCAAGACATGTGGCTCCCCAACACAGATGCACTGAACTTCTGTGTTCCCAAACACTCCAATGCCTAAAATCTTGCAAAATCTTTTAGTACCATCTGCTGATGGTATTGTTCTGTTTCCTCTGTTTATATATTTTCAATAATTTTGTGAGCTTTCTGATGCTCTGTTTCATGTAGGATATGGAGATCATAAGAAAGTTGTTTTGGCTAATATGGTCAAGATGTATAAAAATGGAATATCCGTCGACCAAGGAACGACCCAACGAACATATAACCGAAGATATGGATACTCGAAAAACAAGGAATTTGCAAATAAAAAAGTTACAGTTGAGAAAGACATTTACTTTTTGGAGAGTAAGCTTCATCCTGATACCAAGGTGCACTTAAAGGAGTTGTCCAGTAAAACAAGCAAAACGAGTTTTTTTATCTCGTCCAGTGGCTGACTCAATTCCCTTCTCAACTCAAACCTTTGCACATGTCTTGAACTATTTTTCATTGCAATCTAAATCAACAACATCTAAAATACTGGAACAGGCAATCGAGGATTGTGAAGCACCAACCATGGAAGGAGAAACAAAATATTGCGCAACGTCATTCGAGTTTTTCGTGGATTCGGGTGTTTCCATGCTGGGAAAAAACATCGAGCTTTTGTCGACAGAGTTAGAGAAAGAGACGCAAAGCCAAGAGTTTAGTGTCGGGGAGGGAGTGAAAATGATGGGTGAATCTACGATTGTTTGTCACAAAATGGAGTATGCATATGCAGTGTTCTTATGCCACTCCATTGATAAAACAGATTTGTATAATGGTCCTTTAGTTGGGGAAGATGGAACAAAAGCTACAGCATTGGGCGTTTGCCATAAAGATACATCAGCTTGGAATCCCAATCACTTGGCTTTCCAGGTTCTCAAAGTTAAGCCAGGAACTGTTCCCGTCTGTCATTTTCTAGCCAGAGACGCCCATGTCTGGGTTCCCAACTAAATTTGCTAAAAATACCAGTATCAAGAGGACTAGGGCTAGGGGTCGTATTAAATGTGTTCCAACTCATCAACTCGGTGTTTGCTGGTATTATAAATAAGTATAGTTGAAGTGCGCGCGCGTGTCAACATATAAATAGGAGAATGTATTGATCCTTTAGCATTTCTTACATGTAAAGTTGTGTATGTATGTGATGAATGTTTTTAATGTAGTTACTGATAGTTTATATAACTATCATTATTTGTCGTAGGACTCTGTGTTAAACGATTTTGATATAATCAAACGATAGTTTATCAAATTTAATCTTTTTATTATTTTTTTAAATTTAACTTTAATCTATAATTAAGAATATATTTTTTCACTCTTATACATATGTGAACATTTAATATGTGTTTTCACTCTTAGACATTGTGTAAAATAGTTATTATAAGTAAAATATTGTTTTAGTAAAACCTTCAATATTCTAAGAAGTACAGAGATTCACGAGAACCTTTTCAACATTTCTTGTTAGTATAACAAGTAAGCTACTTGTTTGCAACGTAAAAGTTGTGGCGAAGACAAAAACATAAAGGAGAGATAGAAACAATGTCCAAGTTCAAGAATCGGCAAGCATATGAGTATTACAAAGATACATCAGCTTGGAGCCCCAATCACCCAGCTTTTCAGATCCTAAATATTAAACCAGGAACTGTCCCCATATGCCATTTCGTTATCCGAGATACTCTTGCCTGGGTTCGGAAGTGAGTTACAAATACAATCCCGAAATGGTACCTTAAAAACATCACGTAATTTCGAATAAATTGCTTGTCTTTATGAATTCCTGTATCTTCCAACTTTCGAAGTATATCTTCGCCAATAATCATGTTATGCTTACTTGGAAAGCTTCTGTAATAAAATCTTTCATCTTCTCTGATAGAGAGAATTTGAGTTCGAATGTTGAAGATAAAATGATTGGAGACAGCCATAAACCCTGAAAACGATTAATTTTCATAAACAGTAAAATGAATATGTATTGAAATCCTAAATACACAGACAAATTTAAATAAACATGACATACTAATGTTGAAGTGTTTAAACATAAAGTTCACATCTCTGTCGGAAATTAAATTATCAATTCCAGTAATGAAAACTGCAATAAAATGAAACAATCAAGTCCAGAAAGAAGGGGTAAGTATAGCAAAAAAATAAAAATGATATATTCTTAGTCGAATGTCAGCCAGAGATGTAGAAACTCCAAAAAAAACGTAGTTCTTCGTAATGTCTGTACATTTGCTCGACTTCCTTTATGAACAAGCAATTTCCTTGAACCAAAAGGCCATCCGGGCTTAAAACATGGACTTCATTATTTCAAAGTTTAGAAACCTTTCACATTCACAAACTGTGATAAAAACCCTCAAAAAAGAAAAGAAAAAAGGAATTGCTCTTTACGTACTGGCATTACCCAGAACTTGCATTGATGCTTTCAATCATATGGTATTACCTCCTGGAAGTTCAAATAGTTCTAGGGAGTGAGTGGTTGATGTAGATTCCTTCCTGCGAAGTTCCTACATAGATCCGAATCTCCTAGAAATCATCATTTAACTTGATCAGATATCTCGAGATTGTCAAACACGTGGCCCACAACTGTCAAAAGAATCTGTTTGAACGAGTGGCTTTAGACCCTTTGGAGCTAGAGTAGCCAAACGATCTCCTGGCATCCCTCCGTGATTGCATGCCACTGCTTTTATCGAACGAATAATTATAACCATCTGCAGCTACTCTGGATGTATGTGCAAAATGTTTCTTTTGCAAGTTCCTTGTCTCTTCTTCAGAGTCATACCTAGAGCGCTGCAAAAAGACAATGTTGCAAGATAAGTACCATATTTGCCAAGAATAACATATACCATAATAAATAAAGTTATTATAATGCTCCTCAAGGTCAAGGAAGGAATAGGCAAATTCGAAGAGGATAACATATACCTTGGTAGGGTCTGAAAGTACTGCATATGCTTCTCCAATTATCTTAAATAGTTTGTCAGCATCCTTGTAGGCTTCTTCTCTTATCTCCTTCCAGATCTTATCGTCTCCATTTTCAGTTCTTACCAGGGATTGAACAGCCTACATGTGTACAAAACTACGATCACTGCCAAACTTCTAAAAATATGTGTATAGCAGCAGATATTAGAAACCTTGTCAGGATGATGCCTAAGAGCAGCTTTCCGATATGCCTTCTTTATTTCTGCTGGTGAAACAGATTGTTCAACCCCCCTGCCATTACAGTAAAAATAACATACATGGTTATAGATGAATGGAAAGTCTTAAACCCCTTTCACGAAATCTAAAATTTACTACCCACACAACAATATTAGAAAGGTTTAAGGTAAAGGCTAACAAATTATTTAATATTAAGCCAAAGAAGAAAGTAGCATCAAGATCCATGTACATAAGAAACTCACAAGATGAGATAGAAATCCAAAGGCACTTCCTTTTTGCTTTCTTCCTCAATTTCAGAAAGCCATGAACGAGCATGTCTTGTGTCGTTTGCCAAGTTAACAGATCTTTCAGATAATCCAGTTTGATTGGTTTTCATCTCCGTTTGTTTCACAAGAAGAGAAAGAAGTCTTTCAAGATCATTAGTTGCTTTCCCATAATCTCTAATCTTCTCATATAATGTGGCACGTCTAGAAAGTGGCTGCAAAGATAATTTTAAAATGATCTATAAATTTCACAATAAATCTAACCATTTATGTTGACTTTGATTCAAGCATGCATCCTACACAGTATAAAACCAAGAAATGCCCCTAGAAGGTGATAGGAAGCCAAGAAATGTAATGGAAGTGGATAAACAAATAATAAAGGCTGTGCCTGAGGCTCCAATCATTCAGAAAGCAATATTTTCCAGCAGTGAATAGTTGCAATAGATGTCTAAAAAGAAAATAATAAAATGTACTCCCAAAGTCCTGAATTTATACAATCATTTTATGTTGCTGCCGTAAAGTTACTTTTTAGATCCATACAACACAATACTAAGCCAAACTTATCAGGCATACATGACAACTTCTGGAAAAAACAATTGTTGTTAATGAGTTCGAGAATAAGAAAATCCCCATTTTAACCAGCAAATTAAAATAAATTTCTAGTAAAGGCATTTGGTTTATGCATTTTCTAAGTCCTTAGCATTCAGCGTTTATAGTTTTCTTGTTTTCTTTTGTTCATATTCAACATTTATAGTTTATTGCACCTTTCAGTAACATTTTATGTGCCAACCACTGCTGCTTAGAACAGAATAAATGATAGGCTGATAAGTAACAATCGTCTTCTTGTCAATACAATGATAAAACCATCCAGGCAGTCCTACAAATTGAGGTTGTGCATGTGCTTAGTAGCTATTAGATGACTTCATTCACTTTCTCCCTTTGGAGGTATTTTTCAGTTAGATTAAACAATTTTATTTAGAAACAATGGACTGACTGATTCAATCTCTCTACTCAAATTCCTCCAATCACTTCCTCTGATAGAAAATCATCTGAACAAGTAAGAGCACAAAGACAAATCAGTTTGCAGGAAAAAAAAAGAAACCTTCAAATAATTGCCATCAAGTGCTATGGCGAGGCTGCAATCAGCAATAGCATCAGTGACTTGGCCTAGTGCTTTGTATGCAGCAGCACGATTGCAAAAACAAATAGCTGCAAAAGGACGTGACTCCACATTGCAAGATAAAGCCGCAGTATAATGTTCAACAGCTTCCAAGTGTTTTCTTGATTGGAATGCTTCATTCCCTGCAGCCTGCAGAAGAAAGAAATAATTGAATTGATAATAAAGTTTTTATCTATCCCCCACCAAAGCACATCATTCTTCTGAAAGAAAGAAAAAAAAATTTAATACTGGTTTCTACTAATCATTTAAATGTTACCACTTCTCAGTTCCAGGATTCAATCTTAATTATACATTAATGTATAATTACGAAATAATTTACTTTTTAGTATATTAATCTTAATTATATTTTATTATTGAATTAATGTATTCAATTATAATAAACTTGCTAATAAAATAATATATTCCAGTGGAAATAACTTGTGTAGAGTCAAGTTATGTTGAATGAGGTCCAGGGTTCAATCCCTGTGTTTAACCACTTCCCCCTTCCTCCTTTAAATTAATCTAATTGATTGTACTGAATATATATATTTATAATATATAATTTAAAAATTTTAGACCACATATACCACATGGTCAACCAAAAACCGCCTTGACCCAGTCCCAACTTTTTTATTTAAAATCTGATTCTTAAGTTAAAAAGCATATCTAGGAAATACCTTATGGCTTAAGAGCTCACGTACAGTAGCAGCCAATGGAATTGATGATTCCAAACTGTTTCTTCCATCCCTGGACAGACTCAAAATGTGCAATAATCATTGTACTTCATGGCATAAATCAGAATATTTTGAAAGACAATGGTGTGAATTTTACCTATTTGTAGTGGATGGCAATTCCTCTTGCTTCTCCAGAAAAGCAATAGCCTCTTCAAGCTTTCCTAGATGAAAGTAAGATTTGAAGATCAGGTGACATCGCCAAATTCTAAAGGTAGGGTCCTTCAAGAAGCCAGAACTATCTGGACTGGCCGATTGCCCATTGGCATCTAAAGAAGGAGAATTCTTTTCAGCGGAATCAAATGTCTGCTCACACAGCTGAATTACTTCTTCATATTTGCCTAGCTGTCAGATTGCAAAAGTGTTGTTATGATTCCATCAATCTCCCTGTTGTTTAACATATGCTTAAATAACAGTAAACCACCTACTTTCAGAAGTTCTACATTTAGAGAAGCATATGTCAAAAAAATTACACTTACAATTAAAAAAGCCTCTGCTTTCATTTCAAGTAATTGATCTGAAACCACACTTATTTGCAAAGCCTCAGCAATTACTTCCAAAGCAGCCTCTGCATTTTCAGACATTTTGCTTTGCAAAAGTAGAGCCGAGTGATCCATGCATTCAGACAATTTCTGCCAAATAAGAAACCACTAATCAGCTAAATTACCATCATCTCAAATAAACCCAGCATAGTGAAGCTGAAAACTGAATAACTTCAGAGAAGCTAGCGAGGGTGGCTATCAAAACAATCATACACCTTCCATCAGCTAACGATATAAAAGAAAAAATGTAAACCCCTTCCACCACCACATACATTTGCACATGCACATACCCATAGACACGGAAATTCTTTTTTTTAGGATGACATTGCAAGAAATTTAAATTCAGACGTGTGGTTCCATGGCTTAGCAAATAATCAAACTTCTCAAAAACAACATATAGCCACAAAGTGAATTAATTTATCCATGCAAGTTAATAAATTAGAGCAAGTGGTCCGCCAAGAATTAATCTAACTCTCAGGTGCATTATTATGACTTTAAACTTGTCCACCAATTAGAGCAAGTGGTAGATCATTACGCTTCCTTTAGTAACCAACCACCTTTTTCATTTTCGAGCATCACTTCTGCTCCAGTACCTGTTTGTTGATATTACTTTCACCCATTGATTGTAATAGAAATATATATGATTTTCAAGAAAAAAAAAGGTTGAAACTAGAAAGTATCAAGCTCTGAAACTTGTATGAATGACATCAACTCCTTAAAGCCTAAAGACAACAATTTGGACTCATTTGCAAAAGTGCAGCAATTATTTGATTACTAACAGCTTGTTATTTCTCGTATAATCAATCAGACAGTCATATTAAACAGATAGCAAGCATTGAAGCATATACTATGAGAAGGTCAAGATCATGTTCTTGATCAAGTTCATAAATTTTGGTCTCATGTAGTTTAAGATCCTAACTGATGGAAAACCCAAACTAAATTGATCATGTTTCTTTGTCTTCAAAAGTCCATTGCAAAATACAAACTACAACATACCTGCAGCCATAATTCAAAGATGATAGGCTACTCAACAGGATAATCTCAAATGAGGACAAGATGCATTATTCAGTAGGGACTTTTGCAAAATTAATTGATCTTTGTGGAGATAAAGAATAAATTGTAAATAGAAACTAATGTTATAATTAACTCAAACCAGTACCAAATTAACTTGAATAAAAGAAGAACAATAATATAGTAGCTCCTCCCAAATAATAATCAGCACCTGAGCCTTTTGTAGGCCATCTGAAGATTCTACTGCAACTTTTCGGTCCACACAAACATCAGTTCCAGATTGTAAGCACTTCCTGAAATAGCACATCGCATTCTCAACTTCTCCAAGGGCAAGGTAGCAACTTGAAGGAAAAGAAATAAAGAAGAATCAAGTTAGGAGAGATAATGGAAAGCCAATAGAAATGAGAGTCAAACTAGTATCAAAGCATTGACATGAAAACTGATATCAAAATCAATATCCTAACAACAGGATGAGATCATAAGAATGAGGAGAAATATTAACTCCAAAAGTGAGCAGATATAAAAAAAATGGAAAACATAATTGGTAATTTAACTTATAGAAATAACACATATTAAGCACTACAAAAGGTCATCAAATGGAAGTGCTAAGATTTGAAATTGGCATCAGAGCTGCATCTATGGGCAATTTGAAACAAATGCCTGTAAGTCATCATGCATGATGCAACAAATCTTCAAAAAGAGAAAATAATTCTCAATCTTCAATAAGCTTGATATCTAAAGGAATTTATAAAGTTCCAGGATAAACACATAGAATCCTGGAAAATGAGATAGCTCAAATAAAAAATGAAACAAATGTAGAGCCTTACTTTGCTGCTCTAAGTTGAACCCTCAAAAAGTTGGGATCTATTGAGATGGCCATCATACAATCTCCTAGTGCATCTCTCATTCTTCCAAGAGACATGTGTGTGGCTGCAAGGTTGCTATAGCACAACATCAATGCACGAAGACAGCTTCTAGATTTCTCACCTGCGGGAATACAACTTATCCCTTGCATATAAGATTCCTCAGCTTTAGATGAATCCCCATTTGCATAGGCTTGATTTCCCCTGGTACATATTGTAAAAAATGTATTCATCGTGGAAGGGAAATCAATCGCTAACAGAGGTCGCATCATCAAATTACAAGATGGCAAAACAAGATCTATAAGAAAATTAATCTACTTGAAAAGTATATGTTTTAAAAGAATAAAGGTCAATTATAAAATTCATATTAATAATAACCTTAACCGCCACTTTTCACACAATTCCATAGCTGCAGTGTTTGAACTGCTCAAATTAGGCTCACATTTAACCTCAGGTCCTTTTTCCACCCTGGAATTTCCTTGAACCTTGCTTTGCATGGTAGAAACTTCAGCTTTCAGGTCTTGCCTAGAGAATATATGCAATGAAGCACTTTTAGCTGAATTTTTCTTTTTGTGGTGACCACTTGGTGGTGGTTGTTGACTTTTATCGGAAGGACATGCAGCAAAGGTGAAGTCAAAGCCACTTATATGTTCCAAGTTAGAAGGGGAACTAAAGAACATCTGGCCATCACTATCTTTCCTGTCAATACTTGTTCTTGAACTGACTTGAGTTTCAGCTGAACTAAGAGCAATACCACTGTTACGATCAATATCCTCGACTGCAACTGCAAAGCTCTCAGTTTTGGACCCATGCACAGAATCTTCTTGGGTAGCTTCAGCCGCAACACCATCAAAAACATCTCCAGAACCCTCCTCTTTTAGTTCATCTTTCACCCTACCATCTTTTATATTCATATACTGTGCTGTAGCAAGAAGATCCCCATCTATTGCATAACGTGAAACTGTTGACTGTGTATCACTGAAGTCATCTTTGTTATCAAGACTGAAAGACTCCTCTGAAGTTGCAGAAGGTTCTCTTGAACAACGAGCACTAATTTTACTTGAAACAAAATCTGGTCCATGCCACAGCTGGACAGATTTAGGCTGCTTCGACTTACCCTTCTTTTTCTTGACTTTTGTGCTTGTACCAACTTCTCTTTTTGCACCGAATTCCAAATTTTTATTTAAGCCAAAGGCTCTATTTGACTGTGAATTTGGCGTTTTGAATTCTACAAAGGGTGTTTCTATAGCATCTTTTTTTACTGTAAAACAAAACTCATCCTTGTTTCCTGGTTTATCAGAAGTCATGCCAAAGGTATTTGAACCACTCTGGAAAGGCAAGGTGTTAGATGAAAACAAAGTTGTTGATGCTGTAGCTCCACCACGTCTAATATCAGTTTTTGGTTTATCCATATGAGCTTTAGTTGTGGCCGCCTGAAAAGTAAATCCCCTCTCTGTTTGTCTAGTAGAATCTCCCATTGTACTCCCGATATTCAGCTTCATCTCGCTTCCAGCTGATAATACCTTATCTCTTTTCAAACCAAGATGACCAGAGCTTTCACAACTCTCCTTGGTGCTATTATCATCGAACCCCTTTATGTTCAAATTCTTAACCCCATCACTAAGCGTATCCGACACGCTTCGAACCAAATTATTACCTTTTCCAGCCTTAAATACAAAATCCTTCTTAACTCCATCGTCAACATCATTGCCTGTAGTATTCAATTTGCTCTGGAACTCGTACCGAAGTTTTTCAGTTTCCACACCACTACTAATACAACTACCTACATTGTCATCATTATTAGTACTCACCTTCGTTATATCATTTGTGAGCTTGGAAAATAAATTGCCACCCAAATCACTCCCATCAGAAAGGCTAGGGTGTCGCAACAGATTAAAACCGGAGCCTGTCCGGTTTTCTAACTTGCCTGAAGATTTTGAATTATGGGAATTCGATTGCTTTTTACTTTTGGCAGGCTTTGGCCTTGGAAGGCCTCCCGATGACCGTTGTACAGAAGGCGAATTGAAACTAAAATTGGGATTATTCGGGGTCGATTTGGGGAACCCAGAACAAAGATCACCTCCAAAACCAAAACCAGAAGATGAGTTCATTTTCTCTCGTGAAAACTTGGATTGAACAAAAAATAAACAGAGAAAGACCCAAAATTATTAACCGTAAAAGGAACAAACGAAGCCTGACCAATGGGAGTTGAACAAGAGGAGGAAAAAAGAAGCTCCTCTAGGCTCTAGCAACGCCGGCTACATGGCAACGTCGGCGTCATCAATCCAACGGCTGCCAATGTGATTGGATTGAAAATCTGATACCTTGATTGATCAAAAGGTGGCAGACGGTGGCGATCTTTTCTTTTTCTTCTTCTTTTCAATTCATTGAATGATCAAAACAAAATGTAAATAAACATTTGGTTTTAGGGGTGACGGTGATAATGAAACAGAGATTAGCAATGTAAATTCTGGAGAAAAAGAGGGGTTTTCCACATTTTTTGAGGGTGGTTTCTTTTTAAAAAAGTTATCCTCTTAATGCTGCTTAAAAAAACATCTTTTTTTTTTCTTTCTGTTTATTTTTTAATTTTTTAATATTGAAATTTAATTTTCTGAAAATAGACAAATTACAACTGCCATATTTTTATATTTTTATTTTGGATGAAAATACGTATAATTAAATATATATTTCACTAAATTTAGTAACATCTAATTATTTGATACTATCATTTTGTTATGTGAATATTCTGTTACGATCTTTTTGTGAACGAATAATCTACTTTAATATTTTTTTCAAAATAATATTTTTTATTTGTTTTTATCCTTTTTCTTTTTATTAAATTTAAAAAAAAATTGATAGATTAAAATATGAATAACTAAGATTTTCTATTTGTACAATATATCATTATATATACATATTTTTAGCACGATCATATTTACAATTGAAGAACGGTTATGATTAAGTATGATGAAATCTAGTTTAAAATGTCGAAATCAAAATTCTTTACTCAAAAAATATGTTACAATCAAGGATAAAGTACATTGTTGAAACTTTTTATTTTCGATTTATTTTATTTTAATCATTATTTAAAAATAATATTTTAATCATTTATATTATTAATTTATGTTGAATCTTTTTTTATTTGTTTTATTTAATCATTATTTAAAAAATAATATTCTAATCACTTATATTATTAATTTATTACATTTTCAACTGTTAACCATCGTTAAGTTAATGACATGGTATATTAATAAAAAAAAGTTATCTTTCGTAATTATAAAAGATTATCTTGTAGTTTAATCCGGGATAAAGTCACATGTCATTAATATTTGACGAAAGAATTAATATGACATATAATAAAATTAGTATTACACATTTTATATTTATTACTTATTCATTCTATTAATTTGATCATAAATTTAATTTAATCTAATAAAATTTTCCTCAAATCAATTAAATTTATTAAATTATATTAAAATTAAATTGATAAAATAAGTAAATAATTAAATTGATAAAATAAGTAAATAATTATGACTGAATGTATAATCATATTAATTTTGTTAACCACTTTATTAAACATTAACATCAAATAACTTGATTGTCATAATTTAAATAGTTAAATATTTGATTGACAAAATTAAAAAAATTAACAATTAAATTAAAATATTTTCATAATTAAGTGAGCATCCATATAATTTTTCCCCAAAAACTCAATTTGTATGAAATAAATACAACAAATTAAAAATAAAAACTAAACGTGTATACACGTATTCGTAAGGAAGAAACTAATATATATAAATTGACTATCCTTGAATAAAGCAGTAGAATATTCAAATTCAAATTATTTGCAGTGCATATGATTTCTGGAACTATATACAAGATGGAAACACCTCAGTTTATCATTTCTGGAAATTGTTGGTTTCGTTCATCAAAATTTCAAGCATGTTTGAATAATTTCATGCTAAGCCAATGGAAATATACAAAAATCGCAAGTACGGGGAGTACTACCTGTTCAAATAAAGAGTCCCACTGAATGCAATTCATAACGGAGGTCTTTCACGGAAGCTGCTCTCAATCTGGCGTCGGGAGCAGCCTACTACCCTACCTCCTCTTACCCCCATTACATATGGGAATAGGGTTAGCTAATTTAAGTGATCGAATTACAACTCTATCTGAATCCGCAATAATACTATTTATTATCAGGAGACCTTAAGATAAAGAAGAAGAAGAATAAAAAACAGAAATCACATGTTGTTTTGGATTGCTACCATTAGAGGATAATTCGAGAGCAGAAGAAGCTTCGACATAACAGCGGTGAAGAGAAATCCAAGCAAAAGAAGGGTTCCAATTCCCACTAACAACAACCCCATAACATTGTCGTTCTTAACCTACTATCCCCACTGGTAACCATTGTTTCCATTACCAGAGTTTTAGACCTCCAGAAAACCACAACAGGTAAGATCCTAAAGCGGTGTGTAATTTTTCTTATAGCCTTTTTACGGGTTTTTTCAATCATGGTAAAATAATTGAAGTAAAATTGATTGGTAAAACAAAATCGGATCTCAACTCGAATTGGACGAATGAAGGTCCAAACCCAATTTTTTATAATATTATCTGATTTCTCTGTAATTTTTTTTAATTAAAATATCTCGATTGTTATTTCCACCAAAATGTACAAAAGAAAGAGAAAATTTCATTTTTCGGTTAATGACTCTTGTCAACATCGTAACGGTCAACGATAAAAATATTTAATCAAAATGTCACATCGAATTATTTGTAGTGCATTTGATTTCTGGAACTATATACAAACAAGAAGGTGAAAAAGAAAAAAAATTGAATAACTCTTGTGTCTCGTCAGGATTCAAGATGGAAGCACCTCAGTTTATCATTTTTGGAAGTTGTTGGTCTCGTTCCACAAAATGTCAAGCATGCTTGAATAATTTCATGCTAAGCCAATGGAAATATACAACAATCACAAGTATGGGGAGTGTTAAAGGCACCAAATAGTTGTAATACCTGTTCAAATAAAGGGAATCCAAATTCAACTAATTCATATATTATATAGCGAGAAAATAATATTTAAACATCATTAATCCCTGAAAAAAAGGGCAAAAGAAAAGAAATTTCGGAGACAAAAAAGAAATTTTTTCGAAACCTAATGATTTAGCGTTGGAAAGTGATGGAATTGCAACACTATCAATATCCGCAACAACACTATATATTACCAGGAGGCCCCAAGATAAAGAAAAAGAAGAATAGAACACAAAAATCACCTGTAATTTCGGATGTATGCCATTAGAGGGTAATTTGAGGGTGGAAGAAGCTTCGACATAACATCAGCAAAGAGAAATCCAGGCAAAAGAAGGGTTCTAATTCCTAAGAGCATCAACCCCAAAAACTTTGTCGTTCTTAACCTACTATCCCCGCTGGCCACCATTGTTTGCATTACCATATTTTTAGACCCCAAAAAACCACAAAAGGTTAGATCCTGAAGCAGTGTGTAATTTTTCATATAGTCTTTTTACAGGTTTTTTATTAAACATGGTAAAATAATTGAAGTAAAATTGCTTTGTAAAACAAAATCGGATTTCAAGTCAGATTGGGAGAATGAAGGCCCAAACCCGATTTTTATAATATATTATCTGGTTTATTTGTTAATTTTTTAATTAAAATATCTCGATTGTTATTTTTACCAAAATGTACAAAAGAAAGAGAAATTTTCATTTTTCGCTCAGTGCATCCCATGAAGATCGTAACGGTCAATGAGAGAAACTGTTGGTCAAAAGGTCAAATCAAATTATCTGCAGTGCATATGATTTCTGGAACTATATACAAACAAGTAGGTGAAGAAGAAAAAATTTGAATAACTCTTATGTCTCACCAGAAATCAGCATCAAGGTTCATGATTGAAGCACTTAAGTTTATCATTTTTGAAAATTATTGGTCTCATTACACAAAATGTCAAGCATACTTGAATAGTTTCATGCTAAGCCAATGGAAATATACAACAATCAAAAGTATGGGGGTGTTAAAGGCACCAAATAGTAGTAATACCTGTTCAAATAAAAGGAATCTAAATTATATATTATCAGTAGGCCCTAATATGAAGGCCTAAACCTGATTTTTTTTATAATATATTATCTATTTTGTCTATTATTTTTTAATTGAAATATCTCGATTGTTATTTCCACCAAAATGTACAAAAGAAAGAGAAAATTTTTGTTTTTGCTTAGTGCATCCCATCAACATCATAACAATCAACAACAGAAATCGTTGGTCTAACGATCATATAAAATTATTTGCAGTGCATATGATTTCTGGATCTATAAACAAACAAGATGGTGAAGAAGAAAAAAATTGAACAAGTCTTATATCTCGCTAGAAATAAGCATCAAGATTCAAGATGGAAGCACCTCAATTTATCATTTCTGGAAATTGTTGGTCTCACTCCATAAAGTGTCAAACATGCTTGAATAATTTCATGTTAAGCCACAAGTATGGAGAGTGTTAAAATAACCAAATAATTGTAATACCAGTTCAAATAAGGGAACCTAAATTCAACTAATTCATATATATATATATATGAAGTTCAAAGAGTATGCACTTGAAAAGTTCAAAGAGTTTAAAAATGAAGTTCAGAATCAATTAGGCAAGAGTATTAAGGCACTTCAATCTAATCAAGGTGGAGAATACTCGAGCCTAGAGTTTGACGAGCTCCTAAAAGAATGTGAGATTGTCTCACAACTTACGCCACTTGGTACACCACATCGGAATGAAGTTTCCGAGAGGATGAATTGAACATTGCTAGACATGGTTCAATCAATAATGAGTCATTTGAATTCTTTTTGGGGATATGCACTTGAAACAGTCCCTTTCACATTAAATTATGTTCCATATAAATCGATTCAAAAGACACCATATGAGATATGAACTAGGAAGCATCCTAGTATGTCTTTTATGAAGATTTGGGTAAGTGTATATTTGTTGGATATCCTAAAGAACTAAGGATATTATTTCTTTAACCCTAACGAGAACAAAGTGTTTGTTGCTCGAACGGAAGTCTTTCTCGAAAGAGAATTTCTCTCAAAGAAAGGGAAGGGTAGAAATGTTGAAATTGGAGAAGTTCAAGAACAAAAAATCGATGAACCTGAGGTTGAGCATGTTTCACAAGTTGTTGAGGAACATTCAACATATTTATGAACAAAACCATTGCGAAGATCTACAAAAGAACACCATGTACCTGAGAGATATGGATTTCTCATTACCACACATGAAGACATTATTCTTACGGATCAAGATGAGCCTAGAACTTATCAAGAAGCAGTGTCAGAACCAGACTCTGAGAAATGGCTTGAGGCCATGAGATATAAGATAGATTCCATGTCAGTAAACCAAGTAAGGACTTTGGTTGAACCACCTCAAGGGCTCAAACCTATAGGATGTAAATGGGTTTTAAAGAAGAAAGCTAACATGGATGATAATGTACAAACATACAAGGGACTATTAGTTGCTAAAGGTTTTCGAAAAGTTCATGGTGTAGACTATGAAATTTTTTTTTC